TTACAGTCACTGTCTATCAGCATAGTAAGTTGCTATAGAATCACTACTTGTCTTTTCTGTGTTGTACAGCCCTCCCCATGCCCCTCCCATTATACATGCTAATTGTAATTCCCCCTTTCTTTTTCTCTGCCCTTATCCCTCCCTTCCCACCCATCCTCCCCAGTCCCTTTCCCTTTGGTAACTGTTAGTCTATTCTTGGGTTCTGTGATTCTGCTGCTTTGTTCCTTCAGTTTTTCTTTGTTCTTATACTCCACATATGAGTGAAATCATTTGGTACTTGTCTTTCTCTGCCTGGCTTATTTCACTGAGCATAATATCCTCTAGCTCCATTCATGTTGTTGCAAATGGTAGGATTTGTTTTCTTCTTATGGCTGAGTTATAGTCCATTGTGTCTATGTACCACATCTTCTTTATCCATTCATCTGCTGATGGACACTTAGGTTGCTTCCATTTCTTGGCTATTGTAAATAGTGCTGCGATAAACATAGGGGTACATCTGTCTTTTTCAAACTGGGCTGCTGCATTCTTAGGGTAAATTCCTAGAAGTGGGATTCCTGGGTCAAATGGTATTTCTATTTTGAGCTTTTTGAGGAACCTCCATACTGCTTTCCACAATGGTTGAACTAATTTACATTCCACCAGCAGTGTGGGAGGGTTCCCCTTTCTCCACAACCTCGCCAACATTTGTTGTTGTTTGTCTTTTGAATGGTGGCAATCCTTACTGGTGTGAGGTGATATCTCATTGTGGTTTTAATTTGCATTTCTCTGATGATTAGTGATGTGGAGCATCTTTTCATGTGTCTGTTGGCTGTCTGAATTTCTTCTTTGGAGAACTGTCTGTTCAGCTCCTCTGCCCATTATTTAATTGGATTATTTGCTTTTTGTTTGTTGTTTATGAGCTCTTTATATATTTTGGATGTCAACCCTTTATCGGATCTGTCACTTATGAATATATTCTCCCATACTGTAGGGTACCTTTTTGTTCTATTGATGGTGTCCTTTGCTGTACAGAAGCTTTTCAGCTTGATATAGTCCCACTTGTTCATTTTTGCTTTTGTTTCCCTTGCCCGGGGAGATATGTTCATGAAGAAGTCACTCATGTTTATGTCCAAGAAATTTTTGCCTATGTTTTTGTCTAAGAGTTTTATGGTTTCATGACTTACATTCAGGTCTTTGATCCATTTCAAATTTACTTTTGTGTATGGGGTTAGACAGTGATCCAGTTTCATTCTCTCTTACCTTTTTTAATGTGTTATGTCAAATGTATATTTCTGGTTGATGACAGAAAATCCCCTTATCTTTTCTGTGGAAGCATTGCTCCCTATTGTGAGCTAAAAGAAGATTCTACTGGTCATCAAGATAATAAACCTGTATGTCTGAAAGTTTTCATCAATTTTATTGCTTTATTTCAAACACATTTTCACATACATTATGCCACTTACTTTGCAAAATAAATCCATAAGAGAGGAATTACTAACCTAATTTTTCATTTGGGAAAACTAAGTCTCAAACTTGTTTAAAGTCAAAGCTACATTGTCTATCATGCTGTAGCTAAATGTCTTAGGCTTTCATTGCTGGCTCAGTGTTTTTATTTCTAAGTTTTTAATTCACATACAATATATATCATGTTATAAACATGTTACATTGGTTGTTTGAATCTCAACACATTTACCCTTAAAAATAATAAATGGTCTCAGAATGCCAGACCTGCTCAGATTACATCTGCTTAACTCATAAAAGAGCTAAAGTATATTATAGCTCTAATAATAATGTGGATGTTAGCCAAGAGGTATTATGTTGCTGAACCAAAACACTGGAAAACTGAAGTAAAGAGTTCACCACTATTTTTCTCCATTCCTGTCTAGGCCTCTTCTCAAGGGATTTGGTTAACTCTTAATTCTTCTTAAACCTTGGGTCTTCCTGTATTTAGCAATAAAAATTACTACTAATTCAAGTATGCCACAGTAATAATTATAATGGAAAACATTTATTTAAATGCTTCATGAAGAGTTTCTTTTTAATGGAAAAGAAAAAAAGCTGCTTCGGACTTTTTGGTTTCTCTAGTAAGCAATTGATTCTAAATATTAAATGGTGATTAGAGATATTAAAAATAAGTTGTAATTTTCCAGAGTATTAGAATACATTATTTTGAGAGGACACAAAATTCTCTATAATAGAAAGATCAATTTAAAAAATCTATTAAAATTATCAGCCGGGAAAATCCTTTGCTTTCAAATGTATCTGTTCAAAACTGTCACTCTGTGAGCTACAAGGCTTTGTTTTACCCGATCAAGAAATGAATGTAACTTTATAATCTGTAGTCATTTGTGAACAGCTGCTCATTAATAAAAAGCTATTAAAGTCCAAGTCAGAACAGCAGGTCTAATGTCATGCTTGAAGTAAACACCATTTCTTTAGTAAAAAGTCAGGGAACTGGGTTGGGGGAATTCTGGAAGCACTGGGCTGCAAAGTCTGCCCTACCTCCTGGGCAGGAATGGGAGGTCAGCTGACCAGACACTGCTTGGACCCAGCTGGAGAACTCCGAACAACAAAGCCTATACAAGCTTTGAACTGGTAGACTAAGTAGTGAGTTGGAAACTGATGAGAGTAAATAAATCAAGCAGTTAATTAAGGGATTGGGCAGAGGCAAATCATAAGCCTTAAAGTGAGCAAAATGGTCTGGACACAGAACAGGTAGAATTAACTGTGCCCCGTGCAGTAGAAGCAATCCAGAAAGAAATCTTTTATATCACAAGTGAGATCCCTAATCCCCCTCCTGTTAGTTGTCCCTCTCCCCCACCCCATCCAAGCCTTGGGCAGAGAACAGGACTTCATATTGCACACTTCCATAGAGGTGGTCCCCAAGCATGATCCCAAATTACTGGATCTTGTATCACCCATAATGCCCAGTTATGGATTACTACTCAACAACCAGAGTAAAGACGATATTTTAAAACCAGACTTGAAGTTTGTGATCTTTAGCACGTTTTCTGTTTGTTATTGTGTTGGAAAACAAATATCACTAGCTAGTTGTTTCTAGAAAAATATATAGCTTTTGTTTCATTTGAAAATGGCATATTTTATAAAACTGAATAATAAAAATATATATAGGGATGCAATAATTTGCAGCAAAGATATAAGTCTAAGGAAAAACATTTTGAAAATATGCTTAAGTCAAGATATAGGCAATTTTGGATTATTGGATTTTGGGAATCCAAAAAAATTTTGGAAATTTTAAATTATTGGAATTTAGGCATTTGAAGAGATCAATGTTAGAGCAGTTGTTTAAGGGTCTACAGAGGGCTTAGTGAATTTAGGGAGGTCTGGTAACTGGCAATGATGATGGCATACTGTAGTAAGTATAGTAGTAGCTGCAGTACCAGCTGTTACCTATGTAGGCTTGCTATGTACCAGGCTCTGTCCTAAGAGCTTTGCAAGCATTAGCCAATCTATCAAGTACGCACTATTATACAATTTTTACTGACGAAGAAATTGAGGTGCAAGGATGAAATAACGTATCCAAAGTTACACAGAACCATTCCAGAGCAAGAATAATAAACATTCTCTTTCCCTCTTGGTGATAAACAAATTATTAAAATGTGGTACAGATTGGCATGGGGAGGGTGGGTAGGTACTAGAAATTCAAGGGGGCAGGTGGTGCTGGTTAGGATGACAGAAAAAAGATACTTGTCCAAAAAGAGGCAGAAAAAGAAGGTCTGGCTGGGAAACAATGTGCATAAACTGCTTTCAGCCTCTGACCATATAAACTTCGCTCCTCCCTCATGAGACGCTTTTCAAGAGTAGAGTAGTTTTCTAAAGGCCCTTAGCCCAGAACAGCAAAGCACCCTAAGCCTTTTAACAGCATAAAGGATAAAAAGGAGAAAAAAAGAATTCAGCTTCATAGAACCATAGAAAATAAGAACACTTAAGTTTGGGAGAATGATTACTCTGGGCTGCAAGCTTCGAACAAATGCAGGGACAAGTTGAAATGCCCGTTTTTAACTTCTAATTAAAGAAACTTAAAAAATTACTTGGAGGAGGCTGAATCCTGAATTAAACTCAACGTTTCGCACCCTATAGGTGGCCTTTCCACTCCCTATCATCCTGACAGAGCAGATCTCCCACAGTTTTGCAATCTAAACACTGCTTTCCTTCGGTCCCATCAGGTAGGACGATTCTGAGTAGAACGAAAAGGGGAACGGTCGGGGCAGAGGCACTCTGTACTGAAAGCCGGGTAACAGGTCGAGCTCAGGCGTTCTGCAACGAGCTGTCAGTACAGTCAGCAACGGTCAAAAGATCCTCCCCCACCCACCGTGGCAAACCCCGGCCCCAGTCGCGCGGGCCGCGCCCGAACCCGCCCTCTCCCCGCCCCCCGGCGCTCATTGGTGAAGTCCCGTCGCCGGACTCACAGCCTCTCCCCTATTGGGCCAAAGAGGAGACGGGGCGGGGTGCGGAAGTGAAGGTCCGGAGACCATCGAGAACCTCCTTCCAGTAGGGAGAAGGGGGAGGGTCTGGGGGAGGGTTTCCCGAGGAGGGGGTGGCCATGGCAGCTGCGCGGCGGCAACGGCGGCTGCGACGGAGCGCGCGCCCGGCTTTGAATGAGCGGGGCTGGGACTGAACGCGCAGAGCGCGAGCTCGAGGAATCGACGGGCAGAGCGCGTGCGCGCGCCTTCTGTGCGCGCGCGGCTCGCGGCAGCTCGGAGCCTCCGCCGGGCGGGCGGGGAGGGGGAGGGGCAGGTGAGTGTGTGCGGCTCGTGCGCGCCCGCGAGGGGCTTCCCTTCCCCTCTCCTCCCCCTACCCTAATCCCACCCCGGGCTTTGGAGGGTATCATCTGCCCTTCCCTAGTGGGCCCTCCCCTTCGCCCCGCACTTCCCGCCCTCCCACCTTCCTTTTCACCCCTCCACCCGGTTCCCCCCCACCGCCGCCGATTGCCACTCTGGGGTACTGTTTCCGGGTCAGAGGGACCTTCAGGATGAAGGAACTGCGCCTGGGAGTGGGCCCCGGGCCCGCAGCCCTCGCCATGCCGCGCTCACGCGTGGGAGACCCTCCTGCGGGGCGCCGCCCGGAAACCCCCAGATCCACCCCCCGCGGGGAAATCCGCCCGTTCTTTCTGCCCTTCCTCTACAGGCTTTGCGCCTTCCCAGGGAGATTTTTCCCAAAATTCAGACCTCAACCCACCCAGCACCCACCTCCAACAATTGGGAGCGTTTCACGAAACGCCGTGCTCATGGCTCTGATTGTGTAACCTGAAAACGCTCTTGTTTTTCTCATCTGTACAGTGGGTATGATTTTTTTCTTTCAGCCAGTTTCGGGTGGATAATCTGAAGTTAAAGCATTTTAGTTATGAAATTCCTGCCTTTTGAGTCTTTCAGGAGACTTTACTCTGCCTTTGTGTGTCTCCGTGCTGTCACGTATTCGAGGGCCTGACTTTGGTTGCCAGATGCGGTACAGTGTTTGTGACTTTCCAACCCGCCCTCACCTTCAGTACTAGTTCCTCTTCTCGTGCGCTTTCGCACTGTGGTTTATCAAACTTGAGTGAGTTCAAGTAAATTTCATTTTGGACTCTCATGATATTCCTTACCCTACCTGAGAGAGTTACAGACTTAATTCGAGGATATTCAGTACTGTACTAGATAATATGGTTTTTCAACTTTTGGTATTAAAACATTTAAAAACAGTTTTAAAAATACATCAGTTCATGATGACTTCTTCACCCTAGTGCGTACCACATAGATTTTTGGCTTGGCTTTTTCAACGAATTGTGGTATAGTGACTACTGAAGATCTCGCCAGCAATCTACAGGGAATTACAGAGGAAAGATACATTTAATCTTCCAGTTTCTAATGCAGCATTCTTTTTTAAGGTTGTCCTAACAGAGCTGTCGTTCCTGTTGACTTCCTAGAGATGTCTTCTCCAAAAGCCCTGAGGATAGGTTGCTTCACTGTTCTAACTTTATTCTGTATCTCAGGTTTTTGTATTTTCTTAGCAATTTTTAAGGACATTTTACTTTTGAAATTAGATTACATTAGCATTTCTCAGTTGTAGAAATGCTAAAATGCTAGTTCTAGAAATTCTGAAGCACTCAAAGTGCAAGGTAGACTAATGTGCATAGTTAAAGTGGTGATCTACAGGGCATTTAAAAAAATCAAACAGAGGCAATGAGTGTAAAACTAAAGAGGAGGTTTCATAACAGATATGGTGTGGGGAGAGCCTGGGTTTTGGGGTCAGTCTCTTTAAATCCTAGGTGAGTGAACCTGGGTTTCACTGTCTGCCTCCTCTGTTAAATGGGAAAAATGAAACTTACCTCTTTTGTCCTAGAATTCCAGTGCAGTGATAGAGTACACATTGTCCAAAACTGTGTCTGTCTTGAACATAGTACTCAAGGAATGTTAATTTCCCTAAATTCAACAAATATTTGAATACCTACTATGTGCTGGCATTCCCAAAGACCTAGAAATACCAAACTGAGCAAGATTAGTGGGGACCCTGCCTCCTTAATCCCTTTCTTTGTGACTACCTAGTGACTTTTGAGCAGTGAACACAGGGTTTCTCTGTACAGGATTGGTAGTATTTTCCATTACTCAGGGTAGTATCTGTTACATAATCCATGCTAAATATATATATTCATTGGATTGAACTGGAACATTAAGTAAATACTGGTTTCAAAGAATATCCTTGCCTGCAAATCAGTGTAATTGATGAAATCAGAGGTGTTGCTTGATAGTTAACGACTGCCTTTTCCCCATTTCCGTGCAGTTGATTGGAAAATTTACCTTGAAAATTATAATAATATCATTGAATTACTAAGAATGTTTTTTAGTGAGGTGTTCTTGACTTTTGAATTAAATAGACCTAGGTTTCAATTGAAGTCACTGGGAGTGGGAACGTGGAAGCATATGTTCACTCTCTGTGCTTGAATTCTGTGAAATGAGATTTTGGTTTTATGAACCAAAAGGTGGTTTTATAGGTTGAGATAATATTTAGATAGTGCTTGGCACATAGTAACTGGTCAATGAATATTAGTTCTTTTCTTTCATTAATCACAAAAGCAAATTTTCCACATAATGAGGATATTCTTAATTGCTAGGAAAGAATCCTATTCTGTTGTTAATAATAGTCCCACTTTCTGTTCTCTATTAGAACAAAACTTTACATTTTATTTCCAGTTACCATTCAAGCAGTTCACACTGACAGAAACTTACTGAATTGACACACTACTGTATTTGTTGCAAGGTGATGACTATGATTACCAAGGCTCTGTATGAAATTTATTCTCAATTGTTCATTCATGTATCTCCTGAGGCTCATTCCTCTCCCCAGTACCTAAATATTAAGTGTCTTCTCCCTTCAAAACATCCTGATAGAGTATCTCCTCAGTTCTGTCCCCTTTTCTCCCAAATGCCACATCTATAGTCTCTTTCTAGCTATCATTTTTTGTTTATAATTTTTTTGAAAATTTTGGTTAAAATTTTATTTAGGGGGACTTACTTTCCATTAGAGTTTAATTTTTAATAAATCAGCTTTAAAATAAAGCTTTTATTCGCTATTTTAATTGTTCAGATCATTCTACTCAGAATGAAGCAATCAAGTAGTTTTTCGTATTTTGAAAATGATAACTAGAGATGCCAGATGAGTAAGATCCTCTGGGGAAGGATTATGCAGGGCAAATAAGATTTATAGAATAACAGTACAAAATATAAAATCTAAGTGTGGTAAGAGAAAAATAGTGAAATTAAGACTTTACAATAGCCAGCAAGAAGTAATAAAGACTTATGCCAGGGATATTGCAGTCAGAATTGGGAAGAATATGGGCAATATTAGGAAACAGAATAAGGTCTTTTTATCTATCTGGATGTAAGGTGCTAAGAGAAAGGAGGAGTCAAAATTGTTACATTGTCTGAAGCCTACTAAATCACTGACTGGGTATGGTTTTGACAGAAAAACTTAAGTTAATTTCACTCAAGCAGTGAAATTCTCAATATTTTCTTGGCTCACTTTCTTTTAGAGTAACTTCTTTCCATCCTCTCAGTAGGCCACTCTAGTCATAGGCATTTAGTAAAGAACTCAGCTCATATGGAGACCCAACTTCCACATGAACAAAAATGCATGAACATTGCTAAGGCAGCCTTTGGAACTCTTGTTACTGTAGAGCCTGCTTGCCCTTCCTACCTTTCTAACCCTGGGTATAGAAAGAACTAGCTGTGTGTTTTTGCCCTGAATTAGAAGGGACTGGCAGTAGCGCTATAGAACAATTAGAGTCAGGTACCACAAGAGTTCATCATATTTTCCTTGCTTTCTGCTTTTGTTTTTATTTTTCTTTTAAACTTTTATAATAAGGTATAACATACAAACAATATATACAGTAAAGTATATATTGCTACCACTTAGGCTGAGATGCAGATCTTAGTTCCCCCATGCTTCCATGCCATCCCCCCAGCAGAGGTGACCACCATTTTTTAGTACATAATTTTCAACCTACTCAATAAGTATATATTTTGACTAGCTGAGAACACACTTACATGCTTTTTCCAAGACGTTAGGAGGTTATTTCTCATTCCAGTAATTAAAGACAGAGTGCTCTCTGCTTTAATCCACATGAAATATATTTTGAAACAGCATGTTATTAGTACAGGAATGGTATATTTATCCAGGAAGATTTTAATCTTTATGTTATATTTATAAATTTTATGGCTTATCTTATACCTATATAAGATAATTTTATAGAAACACATCAGCATTTTAATTTTGAGAAGGAACATACAGCTGTCCTTTTAATTTGCTTCCTTGATGATTATTACTTGCATTAAGTTTCATCTCCTTTTAAGTAAGTATCTATAGAACTGAAGTCAAAATATATTGTTTATGCTCTTTTTATTTTGGAAAACAATACATATCAAACTAAGTTTTTTCCCTTTTTGTTTTAAGGAATCACTCTGTTGAAAATACTGGTATTAACCAACTAATGATTGCTTCCAAAGTTGTTACTAATGGACTAGTTACTTTTTTACTAGTTTGTTACCTCAGCTTGAGCAGAAAAGTTAACTTCAGTATATCTTAGTTTGCTGGTTGAGAAAATTAAGAAGTTGGATGATATATTGATACATTAAAACTACTCCAACATAGGAATCATATGATTCTAAATGCTTACTCAGTGAGTTTCCTCCATTGGCAAGCTAAGACATGAAATTACATTTGTCTCTCTGAAGCATTCCTTCCACTCTGTGGTGTGTGTGAGATTTTTTGTGACGATTTAATTTGTGAGCCACTCTCTCTCTCCATATTAGAAAAATGACCATCTCTCACAAATTAACAAATTTTCTTTCCTTTTCTCCTCTTATATTTATTTTGAGACTCTGAATGAGAAAATTTATGGTTACTTAGTATATTTCATTTTAATATGAGCCAAAACTCATTTAAGAGATTTAAAAATTAAGAATTGTTAGGGTAATATATGCAGTACTTATATGATGTAGGTACTTAAAATGCATAAAGAAAAATTTGTATCTAATGACCATGTTTAAAAGGCTAACAAAATAATACCTGTTTTACCATTTGGGGGAATTTTTTATCCTATGGCTGCCGTGGCTTTAAGTAGTTGCCAAGTCCTTAGCATTTCTTTTATATAGAAGCACATCTTTTGGTTTAATCATAGACAGGCAGCATGAGTATGATCTTTGAGGACTTAAACATTAGAACCAGATCCTAAGTTCAGATCACAGTTCTTTCACTTACCAGTTTTGTGGTTTGGGGCAGGGTACTTAACCCCTCTGTGCCTTGGTTTCCCTATCTAAAATAGGAATAAAATAGTACTTGCCTCAAGTCTGTTTTGAGATTAAATGAGGGTTGTTGTGAGATTAAATGAGCTTTTACCTGTAAAGCAATAAGAAGAATGCTTGGTATAAAGTAAGGATTAGCTATTACAGTATGTTGAAAGCTTTCCTAAAATCAGAGTTCTATTCCTAAGAAATTCTGTTAATATGTTTCTTGTCACTAATTGACCTAGTTTCCTAATGGAACTTAGCTCTCCAGAAAGAGTTGCAAAGAATCAATAGAAGATGATGGTATTAATAATGACTTCTTTTAAAATTCTAACCAGAATCTGAAAACTTCCTTAGTATAATATTATTTAAAAATGTCTTATTAATATTAACATAGATCATTTGTAATAGATTTTGAGCTCTAATCGACATGCAATGAGTGGCCATATTTAAAATGTACAATTTGATCAGTTTTGATGAATATAAACATTCCAATGAAACTATTACCACGAATCAAAATAATAAGTATACCCATTACCTCCAAAAGTTTACTCTTGCTCCCTTGTAATCCTTCTTCCCTCCCTGCCCCTCCTAAGGCACCACTGATCTGCTTTCTGTCACTATAGATTTGGATTTTTTTCTTTATTTTGTTTTATTTCCTATACTTTTTTAAAAAACTATATGGAATCATAGGATAGACAGTCATTTTTGTCTGGCTTCTTTCATTCAGTATAATAATTTTGAGGTACACTCATGCTATTGCTTACAGTAGCAGTTCATTCCTTTTTGCTGTGTAGTAGCCTATTGTGTATGTATGCAAAAATATTTGATCCACTCTCTTGTTGATATATATTTGGTTTTTTTCCAGTTTGGAGCTATTAGTAATAAAGCTACTATTCAAGTGCATGTTTTTCTATGAGTATAATATGCTTTCATTTATCTTGGGTAAATTCTTAGGAGTAGAATGGCTGGGTCATGTGGTTCATGTTTAACTCTAATAACAGCCAACTGTTTTACCAAAATGGCTATACCATTTCACATTCCCACTACTGTTGTGTAAGAGTTATAGTTATTCTACATTTCTTCCTAATACTTGTGATAGTATTTTTAATTTCAGCCATTATAATAGGTGTGTGATGGTCTTTAACTGGTTTTAATTGCACTCCTCTGACGGTTATTGTCGACTATCGTTTCATGTACTTATTTGCTATTTATCTTTGGCAAAGTGTCTATTCAGAGCTTTTGCCCATTTTTTAATTGGGTTACTTGTGTTTTTTTTACTAAGTTTGGAGAGGTCCATATGTATTCTGGAAACCATGTTCTTTAACAGATACATGCATTGCAAAGATTTTCTCCCAATCTGTGGCTTGTCTTTTCATTCTCAACAGTGTTTTTGAATTGTAAAAGTTCTTAATTTTGATGAAGCCCAACTTACCAATTTTCTTTTATGGATTGTGCTTTGGCGTCGTATCTAAAAAATCTTTGACTTAGTCATAAAGATTCTGTCCTAATTTTTATTTGTAGAAGTTTTATAGTTGTAGGTTTTATATTTAGGTTTATGACCCATTTTGAATACTTTTTATAAATGGTTTAAGATATGGATTAAAGTTTTTTTATGGATACCTGTTTTTTCCTACTGCTATGTTATATATTTGGTTTTTTTCCAGTTTGGAGCTATTAGTAATAAAGCTACTATTCAAGTGCATGTTTTTCTATGAGTATAATATGCTTTCATTTATCTTGGGTAAATTCTTAGGAGTAGAATGGCTGGGTCATGTGGTTCATGTTTAACTCTAATAACAGCCAACTGTTTTACCAAAATGGCTATACCATTTCACATTCCCACTACTGTTGTGTAAGAGTTATAGTTATTCTACATTTCTTCCTAATACTTGTGATAGTATTTTTAATTTCAGCCATTATAATAGGTGTGTGATGGTCTTTAACTGGTTTTAATTGCACTCCTCTGACGGTTATTGTCGACTATCGTTTCATGTACTTATTTGCTATTTATCTTTGGCAAAGTGTCTATTCAGAGCTTTTGCCCATTTTTTAATTGGGTTACTTGTGTTTTTTTTACTAAGTTTGGAGAGGTCCATATGTATTCTGGAAACCATGTTCTTTAACAGATACATGCATTGCAAAGATTTTCTCCCAATCTGTGGCTTGTCTTTTCATTCTCAACAGTGTTTTTGAATTGTAAAAGTTCTTAATTTTGATGAAGCCCAACTTACCAATTTTCTTTTATGGATTGTGCTTTGGCGTATCTAAAAAATCTTTGACTTAGTCATGAAGATTCTGTCCTAATTTTTATTTGTAGAAGTTTTATAGTTGTAGGTTTTATATTTAGGTTTATGACCCATTTTGAATACTTTTTATAAATGGTTTAAGATATGGATTAAAGTTTTTTTATGGATACCTGTTTTTTCCTACTGCTATGTGTCGAAGAGACTATTCTTTTTCCACTGAACTGCCTTCATTAAATTTCAGTTGTCCATATGTATGTGGGTCTCTTTTGTACTTTCCATTCTGTTCCATTGATCTTTCATTCTTGATTCCGATATTATGCCATTTTGATTACTGTAGCTCTATAGGTCTTGAAATCAAGTAGTGTTAGCCCTTCTACTTTGTTCTTTTCAGTGTTGTTTTGGCTATTAAATATTAAAGATCCTTTGCACTTCCATATGAATTTTAGAATTAGCTTTCAAGTTTTAGAGAAAAAAACCTGCAGAGGTTCTGATTTGGATTGCACTGGATTTATAGTTCAGTTTAGGGGAGATTTGATATTTTAACAAAATTGAGTATTCAATCCCTGAAAGATGGTTTAAAGTTAATTCAGGTCTTTTAAATTTCTTCAGCAGCATTGTCTAGTTTTCAGGATACAAGGCTTTCCATCAGATTTGTCCCTAAATATTTCATATTTTTTATGCTCTTACAATTTTTTTTAAATTTCAACTTGTGATTATTTGTTGCTAACATAAAAATACAGTTGATTTTATATTCTATTAAATTTTCTACATAGATAAGCTAGTTTTACTTCCTCCTTTCCAATCTTGATGCCTTTTATTTATTTTTCTTCTTGATTGCCCTGGTCAAAACCTCCACTACAATGTTGAATAGAGATGGTGAAAGCAAACATGCTTGTGTTGCTTATAATCTTGGTAACTGTCTAATTTTTCACCATTAATTCTCAGGTTACTATGGGTTTTTCATAGATGTCCTCAGTCACGTTGAGAAAATTCCCTTCTATTCCTAGTTGTTTGTGAGTTTGTATCAGGAATGTTATTTGGGGTTTTGTTGAGTACTTTTTTTTGTGTCTACCAAAGTGAGTATAAATTTTTTTCTTTTTTAGTGTGTTAATATGGTGAATTACATTTGATTTTCAAATTTTAAACCAACCTTACATTCCTGGGTTAAGCCCCACTTGGCCTAATGCAGTATTCTTTTATATATTGTTGATTTTGATTTACTAGTATTTTATAAAGTAGTCAGTGTAATGGTGGCCTCAAAAATGAGTTGGGAAATATTCTCTCCCCTCTCGTTTTCTGACAGTTTGTGTAGACTTGTATTAATTCTTCATTAAGTGTTTGATAGATTTCCCCAGTGAAGCCATCTTGGCTTGGGAGATTTTTAACTACAAATTCAATTTCTTTAATAAATGTTTGGAGATTTTCAGTTTAACTATTCTTCTTCTGCTTTTATAACTTGTTTCTTTTAAAGAGTTTATTTCGTCTCTTGTCAAATATAGACATAAATTTGTAATATTTCCTTTGTATCCTTTTAATATCTGCATACTCTGGTAATGTCATTTCTTATCTATGATATTAGCATAATTCTGTTATTAGGGACCTATATGTTTTGAATTGTTATGTATTGTTGATGGACCCCTTTATTATTATAAAATGACCATTTTTATGTTTGTGAGTATTATTTTCTTTGAAATCTACTCTCTGACATTGAAATAGCCACTTCAACGTTATTTGTGTGGTATATTTTCCCCCATCTTTTTGCTTTTAACCTATTTGTGTTTTTATATTTAAAGTATATTTCTGGTATGTAGCATATCATAAGGTCTTCCTTTTTTATCCAATTTGACAATCTCTGACTTTGATTGGGAAATTAGGTAACTTACATTTAATAAGATTATTTGTATGCTTAAGTTTAAGTCTACCATCTTGCTATTAGTCTTTGACTTGCCCCATGTGTTATATGTTCCCCTTTACTTTGTTTCCTGCTGCCTTTTCTATTGGGTATTTTTAATCTTCTATGTCGACTTACTAGCTTAACTGGACCTTGCCACTCAGAGAAAATGATATAATTGATTTACTAGGGGTAGGTCCAGGTATCATTATTTTATTAGAGGATCCCCAGCTATGTGAACCACTGGACTAGATGATCTCTATGGTTATGTCTAGTTTATCAGCTTTGTGACTTTGGGCAAGTTATTTGACCTCTCTTAATTCTATTTCCTTGTCTATAAAATATATGTAATAAAATATATCTATCTAAACATTTCAAAATATTTTGAACAGTATAAAAATATTTTGAACAGTACTATTATCTTCATATGGTTCAAACTTCAAAAGGTACAAAAGATTCAGTATATGTTGTCTTAAACTTTTTTGATTTTTGTTTTTTTAATAAAAAATAAATCATTAATAGATAATTACAGTTACTTTAAAAAAATCCTGAGAGTAGTTCAAAAAGTTTTTTTTCCACTCAATTATTGAAAACTCTTCAAAAATCTAGTTTCTTGAATTGTCAATAAGATTTACATTTTATTTTTAAAATTTACTGTTATTATTTGTGATTTCTAAAGAAAAGTAAAAATATGTCTGATTTTCACCATTCATAATAGGACTTTTGAGCTTGATTCAGAATGGGAGTATAGTTTATGAAATCAACTTAAAGTATTTATTTTTGTGCTTTTTCCACAGGTTTTGATTCCCACCATGGCTATCACACAGTTTCGATTATTTAAAGTTTGTACCTGCCTAGCAACAGTATTCTCCTTCCTAAAGAGATTAATATGCAGGTAAAAAAATTTTGTGTTCTAATTGACCTGCTTATCTTTTTATTTGTTTTGGATACCTTTATAGCTACAGAAAGTCAGGACAGACTATATCTAAGCTAAGTTTTTTTATTGCTTCATTAATTATTCACTAATCTCTAGTATTTCTTATATTTTTTCTCTACTTAAGATCTAGAAAGTAAAGTTTCTTTTGTTCTTTCAAATTCATACATATTCTGCTAAAATGACATTCTCAGTACTATAGAATTTCAGAAAATAAGCAAACCACCTTTTATTATAATCATAAGGGAGTCTTATATACATGATTATTTTATTAACAGAATGTTTTAAGATGGTTAGGTAGGATTTGGCATAGGTATTTCTTTATTACTGTAATATGAATGTTAATTTTATATTTTTAAAAGGCCTTACAGAGAAACTCCAAACAAAACAGGGTTTTTTTTTTCTTTTAAATAATATTCCTTAATGTGCAGGTAATCCAGGGCAGATAAGTTATCCTGCTTCATTAAGAGATTCGAATTCTTGCTATTTTTTTTCACACTACCATATCCTAAAGTTACAGTTCCTAAGCTCTATGCTAAGGCACATCAGGACTTCACACTAATGTCACAGGGCTGCCATAGGATATCTTAAATTTTCCAGTAAAACATAGTGAATGTGATATGATAGTCAGATGCTGTTAATTGCTGCAGAAAATACTGGTTCAAAATAGTTCACATCTGCAACATTAGATATTGCAGCATTATTTTTGATGCTGTCTTGAATGTTTGAGATACACTTTTGTTTACTTGCATTTTTGGTGACCTATTTTTGCAAAGCTGGGATTTTAGGTTGTAATTAAAAGTAAGTACTGAACCAAAATTAATGTGTAACAGAAAATGAGGGTGGTGGTATCCAGTCTGATTCTGGAGAAGCTGGAGAAGCTGGGCAGTGTCTGACAGGCACACACATTCCATTATTAAATAATTATGGTTATTTAAGAATGAAATAAAAATATTTTTTCCTTAAATTTATATGTAATATTTTTTCACATGGCCACTAAGCAGTTAGGACATATATAAATACTAAATTGTTTGCCTAACTACTTAACCAGCAGAACTGTTAGGTATTTCTTTTGGCCTGGGGTGATAAGTACTAGCACACCAAGAGTGGGATAGACTAAAAGAGGGCGATGAGCTCTGTTTTTTAGTGGATATGATCTGGAAGTTGTACACAGCAATTCTGTTTGCAGCCTACGGTCCAGAGCTTAATCATATGGCCACCTACCAGTGAGGGAGGTAAGGATATGCACTCTCTGGCTCAGTGGGCATTTTATAGCTACTAAAACTCTGAGCATTAACAGGCATTGAATTGTTAGATAGAGTGGTCTGGGATTTTTTTAAAAAGGTCCAGAGTATGGCAATGGGAATGAGTGGATGAAATAGAGGGGAAATGATCACTGGAGGAAGAAGGGTCAAGAAAGAAATGAAAAATTTAGGTAATTATTGATATGCAGGAAGAGGACAGGATTTGAGAAGCAGGAAAAAAGTGAAGTGCGTAAGTCATCAGAACATGAAGAGGAATAGCCAGAAATTCACTAGGTGAGGCAGGATAAGAATGGGTATTAAGTGCCAAAAGACCAGAGGTGAAAAGAAGTAGTTATGTTAACAGTGGTGATAAATTTGAGGTGTTTTTCTCTTTACATATGTATTCTAAAACTTCTGTTACATATGGGTTACTTTTAGTATAGTAAATTGCATTAATTTAAAAAATATTAAGGATATTTCTTTTGTCAATGTAAATATATTTAGGATTGAGTGAATGTTCAGTTTAAAGAAAACTGACCCTTTTTTAGAATAAGCTTTTCTTAAGTGTCAGAAGGAACCTAGATAATGTGTTCTAAAATATACCAAGTTTACATCATAAATTTAGTAGTGGAGGGTATTATTTTTCTATTCATCCTTTAAACAAATAAAATATAATTTCTAATCCTGTAATAAAAACAGCTGACTTTACCAATTAGTTCTAAGTAGGTGCTTTGTAATGAAGCAAGTGATTAATCATTTATAATAGCTACCATTTTTTAAATGTCTTATTATACAGACGGCATTGTCTAGTGTCTAGCTGCTTTAAATATGTCACTTAATTAAATCCTCACAACAACCCTACAATAGGAGGTTTGAATACCTGCATTTTACAGATGATATTAAAGCTGAGAGGTTAGGTCATTCTAACTAGATTCATAATTAATAGAAGTAGCATTGAAAACCATAGTTTATACATATTCCATAGCCCATGTTCCTAATAACTGAGTTATAATATATAATGTTTTTCCTTCTAATCCTTAAAATTTATTAGTTATAGTTTTGTTCAACCCAGTTATTCTCAAACTTTTTAATTTGAAAATAGGTAATCTTACCAAGAAACCAAATATGTAAAACAAACAAAAACCAAACCACCCTGGTTAAAACAGCATAGATATCCCAGTGGTTCCCCCGCAGAACTCACAGAACTCTAAGACGTGTGGTTTGAAACCACTTTGCATTTTTGTTTTTGGCTTTATATTCCTCCTGTGTTTGTCTATAATTCTGAGTCCTAAGCCAAAAAAGCAGTATGTTATCTTGTCCAAGATTTTAAGAACCTTTAAAAGATATCCGATGCCTGCATTTTCTTTTCATATCTTAATGAACAATTGTTAATTATTCAAATAAATAATTCTAAAATTGGAAAGAATTTCTTATAAGCTTTATCATCTCTTGAAAGCTTTAAGTTACTGTCCATAGTGCTTTTGCCCATGCTTGTTTTGGTAGTTCTTGAAGTAAATTATTCATTTTTATTTTAGATCTGGCAGAGGACGAAAATTAAGTGGAGATCAAATAACTTTGCCAACTACAGTTGATTATTCATCAGTTCCTAAACAGGTACTTTTTTTCTTTTTTAAGGTTGGGTAAGTGTTCCAGAACAATCTTGTTTCAAACTGGATTGCACACTACCATTATGTAATGAAATCATTTTGGTAGTCAATCAGCTTGTTTTTTGTTGTTGTTATGCTTTTTATTCTAAAATTTTTATTTGGTTCTTCATTTTATTTTCTATTATTATGCTGAAATTTTCAATTTTTCCCCCCCATTGGTTTCAAGCGTGTTTGCTTTTGTTTGTTGGAGAATTTTTATAACTACTTTAAAGTCTTAGGCAAATAATTCCAACATTTATGTCATCTTGGGATGGCACATGTTAGTTGGCTTTTTCTGTGCAATTTGAGTAATTTTGGGTTGTTTCTTAGATATTTTGAAAATTTATGTTTAAGACTGTCTTATTTAAATCCTAGCAAAAATGTTGATATTTTTTATTTTATCAGGTGATCAACCCGGTTAGGTTTAGGTTGCAAATTTGAATCCTGTGGGCTACAGTCCTAACATCAGTTATTTTCAAAGCATTTACTCTTGCTTTTTTTTTTTTAATGGGTAGAACTGAATGTCTAATTCATAATAAACAAAGTATTTTTTTAAACTTTTGATCTAGTTTTGGTATGTGGTATAAAATTTATATTTCCCTGTTGGTCAGAAAGTTTTAAAACCAATGTTTTAGAAAGCCCATTTTCCTTAAAAGTTTTAATTAGATTACTCCTTTATGCCTGACCATATTGATGAACTAAATTTAGACAGATGTTGAAGAGTGGACTTCCTGGGATGAAGACGCACCCACAAGTGTAAAGATTGAAGGAGGGAATGGGAATGTGGCAACACAACAAAACGCTTTGGGGCAGTTGGAACCTGACTATTTTAAGGACATGACACCAACTATAAGGAAAACTCAGAAAGTATGTTAAAGATTGATGTGTTTGGAGATTAAAATATTTAACTGCTTTTTTTCAGATTCCTATACTTAATGTTAGACAGTAATAATTAGTATTTTTCAGAAAGCCTATTTCTAATTATCAGTTGGTTATGTTTTCTCTCACATTAAAGGTTAAAACTTCAAATGACCTAGACATATATCCAGGAAGTTGTAACCCCAAGTCTTTTAAACTTATATCTAAGCATTTATTAAAATCCTATTGTATGGCAGATTCTAGACTCCAGTCTCTGCTCTGGAGACTAAGCTGAATAAGATACAGTTCTAACCTTAAAAGAGTTCACAGTTTAGTGATATCTGCAAACTGATAAGTAGTTTTATTGTTCATAGTCATTTTAAAAGTGATGCAAGACTCTGTGAACTTAAGTAATAAATGTGGAAGGTCAAGTAAAGATGCAGGAAATTAGTGGGAAAAGGACAACAGCTGAGTATTTTCCTTTTTTATTGTCAAAATTGTACATGTACATTTTTTTTAAGTCAAAGAATATAGAAGAGCTTCTAATGGAAAGCAACAGACTCCTGCCCCATCACTCTTCATAGCCAGATCTACTTCTCAGAAGCAGCCACTCATAGCTTTCTGTTGGTGCTACTAGTGTTTTTCATCATTTCTATATGTAGTATGCTTATATTGGTATGTCTTGACTTAGCATTTTCAGGTGCTATCCATTGACCTCATACTTGGGTAAGTGAGGGTTTATTTTATACCACTCTTAGACCTCTGACCCCTCTTGCAAATGTTACAGTGTTATTTTTCCAGTCCACCTCACTACTATGTTTCAAAAAAAACTTACTTAGAATTCCATTTCTTATTCAATCAAGCATAGAAAATGTTTCTTATATACTTTATAAAATGAAGACATAGATTATAGTTTATTCCACACTTCTGTAATAGCATTTCTCACCCTCTTCTACCAACCAGACAGCTTCAGCTCTACATTCAGATGTACATTCAGCTATACATTTATTTTTACACTTTCAAGGCTGATAACATTTACATTCTGTAATCATAATTGTTTTTGTTAAGGTATCCAAATATCTCAGTGCTGAAAAGCATTAAGTTTTGTGTTATTCAAGGAGTTTAAGTGAGTTTCTTAGTTGAATATCTTAGTTTGGAAATACATTACTGCTCTTACTAGGAACCCAGTATATTTTGATAGTACCTTAATAACTTAATTAGAATGAAAATGCTTTTAAGCTACAAAGCCAATACTACTGGGCTGGAAGAGATAATGGATTCATAGGTATCCACATGCTTAGAGAGCTAGTTATAATTTTGATAGGATATGACACATGTTCTTAGTTAATACAGTAACCAAAAGTGCCTAATTGTATTTTGGGGGTCTAGGGAAAGTAGGGAAGGAGGAAGGAGAAAAAATAGTTCTCTTAGTATTTAACAGATTTGTGTGACAATCACCTAGGAATTTTGGTGCTCTTTACAGACTATTTTTAAAAAACTTTAGTTTGTAGGTTTTAAAAGAAAGAGCATATTTTAAATAATTATAAAATGCTTTGGTCAGGTAATTATTTTGTCTCTTTTTATAAAATGATGTGAAAAATATTGCTATAATTCTATATTCCATTACTCTTTCAGATCATTATTAAGAAGAGAGAACCATTAAATTTTGGCATCCCCGATGGTAGCACAGGTTTCTCTAGTAGATTAGCAGCTGCACAAGATATGCCTTTTATTCATCAATCTGTAAGTATTAATGGTATCTAGGTAAAGACTTGTTTTTTTATCTGTTTAAAGAAGAAGAAAAAATTAAAATGAATTAAAGATGGTATTTATGTTTCTGTGACTTTGAAACAGGTTTAGGAGAGTGAGAGAGGTTATTCTGGAGTTTCGCCAATTTTACCCTTTTATGAGATTATAACTTGCATCAGCCACCGTGAACAGAGTCCCATACACATAAAAGAGACAAGATGTAATTTAAAAATATGACCTCTAAAGAGATTACCACTAAAAGTTAACCCTAATTGCAGGCTATTTTTAAGTGAGTTAAGAATTGTTTCCTTAGTAAGTTATATTTACATTTGAAGTGCAATTAGATTTAAAATATGTTTGACGTAAATGCAACTGTTGTAAGGACAAAAGTAGTGAGGAAAGTATGTAACTATGGTTCTCACCCTTGGAAGCATATGAGAATCAGCTTTGAGTTTTTTTAAAAACACCATTGTCCATACCTCTCCCCATACCTAATAAGCTTAAGCATGCTTTGATTGATTAATTATTGATTAGTAATTGTTGATTAATTGATTGTATTAGTTATCTACTGTTGCATGACAGCTCATTTAGTGGCTTAAAACAACAGTAAACATCTTTATCTCAGTTTCTATAGATCAGGAATTCAGTGATCTCTAAACTGGGTGGTTCTGGCTCAGGGTTTCTAATTTTTCCAGACAAGTCATTAGCTGTGGCTGTAGTCATCTGAAGGCCGACTGGAATAGGAAGATTCATTTCAAAGGTGGCTCACTTACAGGCCTGCAAAGTAATGCTGGTTGGTTGCATGAAGCCTCAGTACCTTGCCTTGAACTTCTCCATAGGGCTGCTTGAATTGTGATGTAACCACTGACTCCCAGAACCAGCGATCCCTGAGAAAAAGAGAGAGCTTATAGAATGAAGCCACAGTGCCTGTTTAGAACTTAGTCTTGTAAGTGACACACTGTCACCTCCACATTATTTATTCAATGGAAGCTAGTCAGTAAATCCAGCCCACATGTACGGGGAGAGGAATTAAGGTCTACCTCTTGAAGGAAGGAATATCAAAGAACTTGCAGACAGTTTTAACCACCACGCCTGCCTGTCTGTCTGTCTATCTTATTTGTTAGTTTAAACTACACAGATGCTTCTGAGTGCCTTTTCCCCAAGGGACCCATCCTGATGTATGTTTTTAATTTATTGATCAAAAATTGTTTCTACCAATTCCAGATGCTATGCTAGCTGCTCGTAATATACTGGAAAGTAAACAAAACATTTATTTTTCTTGCCTGCCTCAGAAAAATGCATTCTAGTGGGGGAAGCACAATATTAAGTAAATGATCACACGTAAATATTACAAGGTTTTGTAACTCCTATGTAGTTAACATGATGCTGTGAGAACGTAATAGCAGCATAGACAGTTGTCTGAAATAGCATAGTGCCATGATGTTTAATTTTTTATTTCATATTTGTAAATCTTAAACTTTATTCATATATGTTTGATCCATATTGGTAAAAGTGGTTCAGACCTACCCAGTGAATTACTAAATATTTGCCACCTAATTGTAATTATGAGTTATCATAACACTGATGTATTTTCATTATAAAGTTGAAAATGTATAGGGAGAATAAATTCTTACAACTTCTCAAGAAGGTTATTTGTATTTTGTTTTTTAGTAGTTTTAAAAATCCTTTTCTTTGGTTTAGCTAGTCTACTTTTAGAAATTTCTATTAAACAAAGATATATTAAATTTATGATTAAGAGGAGCAAACATTTCATTTTTAGTTGTAAATGCTCAAAAGAGAATATAATAAATTGATTTGCATATTGGTTCCAGTTATTTAATCATTTCCACACCTAATTAAACACTCTAGAATGAGCATTTTTTTAGTTTGTGGAAGAAAAAAGTGAACTTTTAGCAGACTGGCCTGGGGAAGAGTGGAAGGTAGTGGCTAGCATGATGGTGTCAGGTAAGGAGGTGAGGTTAAGGGAAGCACCGTGTAGCAGAAGCACTGTGAGGAAGAGTCAGTTTTGTCTGATTTGTCATTTTTGCCTGGGACCCAGACAGTAAGTGCGACTGAAAAGTCTGTGGTTACTTATGCTTAAATGGCAATGGCTGTGCTCGTTCGGAAGCTCCCGCTCTTCCAGCTCATCTCCTTAACACAGAGTGGTGCAGTCAGGCTCCCTAATTCAGTCTGGGGTCAGGCTCTCTCTTCTCTTTCCCTACCCCTACCCCTTCCTCTTACTGAAAAGAGAGAAACAGAAAGAAGTGTTCTCTGCTTGTACCAAACTACAGCAGGCAAACATAAATAAACAAACAAACAAATAAATAAATAAATAAAAGTTAACATAAAAGGAAAGTTCTTTGAAATGTGAAATAGGAAGAAAGCTGGACTTGCCCAGGACTTAAGTACTGAAAGTCATGCATTACAGGAAACACCTCAGATCCAGGGGCCAAATCGCTTAAGCCCTGTATGAGCTGTTGTGAGCATGTAGAGAAGACATGGGAGTGACAAGGTCTGAGTTATGTTTTAAAAGACATTCTTGTTGACTTCACTATTGTAATTTTGTTTTATTTTTTGTTGTAGCCTGAATTAGGTGACTTAGATGCCTGGCAGGAAAATACCAATGCATGGGAGGAAGAAGAAGATGCAGCCTGGCAAGCAGAAGAAGTTCTGAGGTATTTTGAGTAATATTTACATTGTAACTTGAGTAGAAGAACTAGACTTGTTACTACTGCATTTGGTTAAGAAAGCTTATTTTACCATGTTACATTTTTCTTCATTCTTTCTCACTTGAACCTTAGATAATATGGGAAACTCTTTTTTTTTTT